ATTTACTTCTAATATGTAGAAGATGAATAAAAGACAACGCATGACACGTCAATGCGAAACATGTCTATTGTAAATACAAAGTGTTTATAACTTGGAAAGGAGTGTTCCCAGACCCATATTTATATGATCTTTTTTCTTCTTTACAATGAGTAGAATAAGTTCTTAAAGTTTGGCTACCTATTTCTGTCTATCTGTTTCTGAAACACCCTATATTCTGATTACATTCTAACAATTACTACATCTAAACATATATTGGTTATGTACCAAAATCTGCAATAATGAGGCTCAGAAATCCTATTCTCGCTCCGTAAAAACATGCTTAGCCAAACATCTCACGTTAATCCAACTAAGATCTTTTTTTCGTGTAATATAGCAAATAAATATTTGAGTAACGAACAAATGTTTAAACGTGTATCAACGATTTTAAGTATTCGATTACCAAGTTATTACCAACGACTTATCCAAAATTATTTGAATGCCCGGGTATTATCCAAATATCTGAGTAGAGAGAGAGAGAGAGAGAGAGAGAGGAGAGGAGGAGAAGAGAGAGAGGAGAGGAGGAGAATGTCCACGAATTCAGGTATAGGTGTTCATATTCAGATACAAAAATTATCCAGTGTATACTAACAATATTAATCATTACTACATTATGCGTGATATATTAATTCCATTGGGGATTACTAGCAATCTCCCGTTTGGCAATTAAACCGGTAAACTGTATACCTCGATGCAGTATCTTGATCTATCAGTTTATCACTAATGTTTGTCACTGCGCATGCATCGTTTATAAATATCATCGAAAGTAAAATAATTTAGTACAAAATTAATAATCGATTATCAAGATGTTATAAACGTTTGGTTTGGTTTAAACTGCAAGCTTATATTGCCGTTCGCGTGACTTTTATCGGTATCTTGGCAAACTGTTTGAAACTTTCGCCACCTGTAAGAGTTCCAGGTGGGAAACGACTCTTTCAAATATTTTAAGATAGCTGTGTCGCTAGTAACGGATTTTCAATAATGGCATCAATGAGCCTTTTCTTATATTTAGTATTTATTGGAAAAAGTTATTCTATAAATTTATCATGTTATATAAGCAATAAGTATTAAATTAAAGAGGGATTAGGATATATATATATATATATATATATACGCAATATTACAAAATGAAAATATATTTTTTTATTTCTCTTATTAATGTTTTGTTTGTGTATTAAGTGATTTTACATATATGTACAGATAATATACTTGCCCGCAAAAAAACGGGCCACTAAACTTTAGCATAATTTTATGACATCTTTCAATAGCAATAACTCAAAAATCATCATATTAATATGAAACAAGGCTCAAATTAAAGCTTGAACATTTCCATAACAACCAAAAACTTAAATGAATTATAATAAATATTTTACAAAATGGCGGATGTTGAAGATGGACTTCGATTAATGGAAAAAAATGTGTTTTTAACTGTTACGCTCAGAGGAATCGGTTCTCTGTACAAAAATGAGGTTTAAAGTTCATTTATTTCCTAACAAATCCATATTTTAATTATTTTTCTACGACCTTTTTTGATAAAGTTATGCCGCTTTGAAGAAAATGTTACAAAATGTACAACCTTTTCTTGTAAAGTCTGTAATTCAAAATAAAAATTATCATGGAGAACTTTTTCAAAAAGGAAATTAACATATAACTCGATCAAGATGTTCCGTGTGGTGGTAGATGATCGGATTTAAATCTCGTGTGAGTGCGTGCGTGTACATACGCAAATGTGTATGTGTATCCTGCTTTTAACGTTACCCAGGATCAACGGCGGATGATTTTTAGTTGTTGACAAGAAATATCCAAGCTGTAATTTGAGTTTTGTTTCATCTTAATACGATGATTTTTGGCTGAGTTATCGCTATTGAAAGATGTTAGAAAACTGTGCTAAAATTTAGTGGCCCGTTTTATTGCGGGTAAATATAGAAAAACGCATATAAATATTAAAATATATGTGGGTATACAGGGTGTCCCATTTTTAAAAACACACCTCGATAATTCTTCAACAAAGTATTTTCAGTAAAAATGTCTTGGACAAAAGTTGTATGATTTCAAGGGGGACATAAAACAACTATATTATTTTGTTTACAAATGACACCACTTTCGAGATATTTACTGATCATTACTTTTCTTAAATAGAAATCCCAATTCTTTATTACACCATCTTTTTCTACTAATTAATTTAAACAACTTTTGTTTGAAATATTTTTATATTTGCCTAATATTTTTTGAGATATTTAATGAAAACTTGATAACTTTTTCAATATTTAACTCACGATATCTCGCTAACTATTTGTCGGGAGAAAAAGTTGTACTAGACTTTTCTGTTCTATTTAATCTCAAGAATATATTATTATAATAGCGCTCTGACTTTTGTTAACTCACTGACTTTTGGAAATTTCAAAATCATCAAATTAACAAAAGTTAATGGGACACCCTGCATATACGTATATACCGGGCATTCGGAATTTTTTAGAGACGAAAAATTGTAGAGATTAATCAGATCAAACTGAGAAGAAAAGTTATGTATTACTTTACAAAAATTGCAATAGTTATTAAGCTATTAATAATTGAAAATTACCATACCTAGAGACTGTTTTAATCGATAGCTTAAAAATTTACGTACTTATTTACAAAATGATAAAGGACTTTTTTGTTCAGAATGATCTAATCTACAAGTACATGACGGCTATTGTATTTAGCGATAGATATGAGTATATTGAACTTTGAACCCTGAATCTTGAATCTGTCGCAACAATAGCCGTCATATAATTGTAGATTAAATCATTTTGAACAATAAAGTCCTTTACTCTTTTGCAAATATTGGATTGTTCGGAAAGTAATTTCGGTTTTTTCAAATAAATAGTGTCAATTGCCTTTTTAAATAGTTCATTCTAATCTAGAAAATCATTTTACATTTTTATAACGCACACTTCAAGCTTTATTTGAAACAAAAGTTGGATTGGAATCTATCAAGTTGTTTTTGTTTGGCGTCGAAAATAGAAAACAAACATAAGTATTTCCGTCACATTTGCTTTTTTTATTACCGTAAAGGCAAAAATGCAGCATAAGCAAGAAAAAAATTGTGTGTCGTGTGTGGAGAGGACGTGTTGACTGAACTCCAGTATCAGAATTGATTTTCGAAATTTCGTTCTGGGAATTTCGACCTCAAAAATATACCACGTTTTGGAAGGCCAGTTGAGGCTGATGAAGACCAAATAAAGGCATTGGTAAATGCAAATCGTCATTTAACAACACGAGAAATTGCTGAGAGATTGAATTTATCGAATTTGACCATGCATGAGCATTTGAAACAACTTGGTTTCGTTTCAAAGTTCGATATTTGAGTTCTACACGTTCTCAAAGAAAGAGATTTGATTCGTTGCATTATTATATCTACGATTTGCTGTTGAAACATGAGGAAAACAATCCATTTCTGAAGGGACTCATAACTAAAGATGAAAAATGGATTGTGTACGACAATATTAAACGCAAAAGATTATGGAGCAGACGTGATGAACCAGTTTAAAGCACATCGAAAGTTAATATCCATCAAAAAAAGATAATGCTCTCTGTTTGGTGGGATTGGAAAGGAATGGTTTTTTTTTTAGTTGCTACCAAACAACCAAACGATTAATTCGAATGTGTATTGTCATCAATTGGACAGATTGAATGATTCCATTAAGCAGAAGAGACCAGAATTGACAAACAGAAAGGGTGTTATGTTTCATTATGACAACGCCAGACTTCACATAAGTTTAATAACTCGCCAGAAGCTGTTAGCGCTTGGATGGGATTTGCTACCGTATCTATCTTATACACTTGATCTGCTACCATCCAATTATCACTTGTTTCGGTCACTGCAAAATTTTTTGGATGATAAAAATTTCGATTCAAATGAAGATGTCAAAAACCATTTAAATCAGTTTTTTGCTAATAAGGACCAGAAATTCTACGAGCGTAGAATCATGTTATTACTTCAAAGATGACAAAAGATGTTAGAATAATGGTCAACACTTAATAGAATAAAAATTTTCTTTCTATTAAAAATATCGTCTTTCATTTTCATGCCAAAACCGAAATTACTTTCCGAACAACCCAATAAATACACAAATTTTTAAGTTATCAATTAAAAGAGTTTCTTAGATGTGGTCATTTTCAAACATTAATAACTATTGTGATTTTTGCAAAATGGTACATGACTTTTCTTCTCAATTTTATCTGATCTTTATCTAATCTTCACAATTTTTCGTCTCCAAAAGATCTCGAACACCCTATATATCTCGAATATTATTACAAATCACGAACTTTATATCAAAGTATTCTCGAAACGAAGCGGTCAATATAATTCTGACGTTTCTGCGTACAAAATTATGTATATTAATCTTTAATATATTATATTAAATTTTTATTAAAATTATGAACATAATACAGAAAGTTAAAACTATTATTTAAAGTACTCCAATTTCATGAGACTTGCTATCAACTTTAATTGCAAACACACCAGCTTCCAAATAGTCAATCATTTCTAATAATTGCATGAGCAATTGGCTAATATTTCAATCGGCATGTATAGAGCGAGTTTCAATCGTTTCAATTCGTTTTTCTAAGAAAATAATTTTATAACACAACTGCCTTAACATTCGGATCTTTGAACACTCCGCGCCGAGCAGCTGCGATCGAACACTCTCGCGATCGAACCTTCCTCGTATCATTCAACTCCCAACAGATCATAATCGAGGAGTAACGTTGTTTCTTACGCATCATCAAGTCACGGTAATTGCGGCGGGACAAACTTGCGTTAATCGACGAACCGCTTCGAACTTCGTCCTGCGTGAATTCCTAGGCTTCGTGAAGGTCGCTCGATCGATCGATCCGTCAGCGACACGAGCGACCGCCACATGTAAACACTATCATGAACAAAGACAAGACAAAATTAAAATGCAACGCATTGTCCGTTTCAGGAAATATGCCGAAGGAATGCGAGCTGGAGCACATCGACAATTACGATAGGCACGGGTCGGCGCACGGTCCGCACTCCACGTCTCTCCACAATCTGGAGAACTCCGTAGGTCGACCGAGCGTCATAGAGACGTCCCAGCCGCACATTATCGAGTGTACATAAGCCGCACACGGGGTATGAGCCCCTTCGCTTTGGCGCGAGAGACGCGGCCGTGGAAATATAAACGAGTTGCTCGCGACTGACGAGATAAGGTAACATAGAAAAGAGGGAACTTGCTCCCTCCTCCCTTCTCCCGTCCCCCCCGCCCCTCTGGAATGGCAGGAAAGAATGGAGTTTTCGCGAAGACAGGTGTCGAGTAAGAGGAGTTCCTCCGTGAACGAGTTGTCCTCCCCAGTCGACTCCAATGAACATCGGCGCACTCATGAAGGACGAACGGAAATGATCCCGACGCGGACTCTTCGCGTCTTCGAGGACGAAAGACTTTTGCCAGGTTGTTTCCCGAGCGATCATAATCGTTCACCATTATTTCCGTTCGTTCCACCGGAGCCGGAGTCTCCTCGATGACGGGCCCGGCGATGGGAGGACGATTTGTCGCGACGGATCACGCGGAAGTGACGAGACGACGCGCGAGGAGCGAGAGGAGGATAGACGCGAAGTACCGCGGATAAGATAGACATGGTAGAGAAACGATGAATCGTCGCCGGTCGCGCAACAGAAATACGTACACAGTTCGGCCCGAAGCGATCTCAGTTTTTAGCCGGCACTTTGAACTTTGTTGCTTTACCGAGGGGGTACCTAGAGAAAGAACGCGACATCAAGAGAAGAGAGAGAGAGAGAGAGAGAGAGAGAGAGAGAGAGAAAGAGAACAAAAAAGACGAGAAAACATGCGAAAGAAGAGACGAATGAATTTTGCCGCGGCGACTCGACGAGGTTCTATCTTGTAGAGGCGCATAAAGTTCCTTCCTTGTAAATACTTGTTTCTATATTTTTTCTATCGTAGCGTTATATCAACGAAGAGAAGGGAGGCTTTCCTCCCCCGAGAGAGTAATCAGGCTTAATCGTTCGACTGAGTGTTCCGGGGTGCTGTCGTTTTAGAGAACGAGCGAGCGAGAGCGACAGCGAGAGAGAGAGAGAGAGAGAGAGAGAGAGAGAGAGAGAGAGAGAGAGAGAGAGGGGTGGATGGGAGGTGGGGTGAGCGGGTGAGTAGGACATTTGCGCGAGCGATCGGCACTAAAGTCGCTTGGGTTTCTCGATTACTCTTCCACGACGCCCATAGAAATGCACGTCGAAGACGCATCGATGACGGGTGTACAAGAAGTCGATTGCGACAGATTCGTGGGATTACCGACCGAGTCCGATGGCGATTTCACCTGTCATTCGAATCCTTTTCGCGCGATCTTATCCTCGGCGGCACACCCGAGCGAAAAAAAACATATCGCCGTTTCTCGATGCGCGTTTAGTCGTCTCAGTTTTTCCGTTGGGACTTCTTTTTATCGACTTTCTAAACACGAAGAGGCTGATGAGATCTTAAGTTCTTTACTTCCGAATCATCGTGACGTGCGTTGAGGGCTAGCTTGCCGCGAGAGGACGTTGCGCCTCGCGACGCAAGAAATGAACGTCCATTTTGTCCCGAGATGAAGATCGCCCGCGAGATGGTGTCCGTCGCGAGGTTCATGAGGTCACGATGCGATCCTCGACGTGCCAAGGCTTAGGTCGGCGTGTGTTATGTGGCGGACTTTGTCGGCACCCGCCATAGTGTTCGAGTGCAATGCATAAAACAGCAGCAGCAGCGGCAACAGCAGCGGCGGCAGCAACAGCGACAGTAACAACAGCGAGAGCAAGAAAGATCCGAACAACCAGTGACGACACGACTGCAACTATACGAGACCTGTACCTGTACATACTAATATTACTATTAATTATTCGATAATTTAAAAAAGGTAATATATATATATATATATATATATACATATATACACATATATATGTATGTATGTATATATGTGTATATATATATATATATATATATATGTATAAGGAGCTCTAATTTATGAATACCTTTATATATTTATATATATAGGTATATATGTGTAAATATATACCTATGTGTATATATAAACACATACACACATAGCAACATGCATCTGCGTGTACGCGTATATATGTGTACACGTATTCGTACGTGTGCGTACGCACATACATACGTGCACGTCGCCGTGAGTCGGCGAACGATAGGCTACGCTTTCAAATGACTCTCGTGCGGCGCCGAGGTTGCACAAGCTCGAAACTTCGTTAGGTAATTTATTAGTACGCGCAGCGTAAGAACGTTAACGCATTACCGACTTGGACGCATGGTCGACACTCGCGGATATCGCTTCGTTGGCCGCGTTCACTCGTGTAGATTCGCAGCGAAGTTTCTGGCGCTTGAAACAGCGGCCGAGTCTCAATCGCGAACGAGTGGATGGTAAATCCACTTGGTTTCAAGTCGCTGGAAATTCACGGACACCTCGAGCCAGAGAAAATTCAAAACCGACGGGAATTCGAGCCTGACGTGAACGGCAACGGTCGCTGACGTGGGTATCGAAAAGGTGGGTTCACTGCAAACCCGAGTGTGTTACTTTGACATGTATAAACTGAAGCTTTCTTCACGCGTTTCTTGTCGTCTTAAATCACGTCGTTTAACGTGTTTAAACGCGTTAAGTGATATCGAAATGCATCAAATGACGTGATTTCAGACGACAAAAAAACGCGTAAAGAAAGCTTCAGCTTATACGTGTCAAAATAACATACTCGGGTTTGCAGTGTTACAATGGGGAATCTAGTCAAAATGTTCCGCGCGGAAGATCAGATACGATACTTGGCGATGTCGCTCGACACTTCACCAATGGGGTGTATTGGATGTAGGGTTGCCAAATGCAAAATGACTATTTCCGGGACATTCTTTTGGCGATGGTTGAAAAATAGGTTGTTAGAGAATTTTAGTTAAATTTGAGACATAGAGGGGTAAGACGGCTAAGAGATGCTGCTGTGTATTCACAACAAAGGCGTGAATTAACCCTTTAACGCCTACTGATAACTATAGTTACCAGAAATTTAAGAATCCATAACTTAGTCAAAAAGGAGGTATTTTCGTTTTCTTTGCACCATTGTAAAGGTGAATTCTTCTTCTAAAAAATGGTATATAGATTGTATGTAGATTTGGTTTAGTCTGTTTTTAGCTCAGTTTTAATGATAACATGTTTTATCAAATTCCAAGTAAGCATAGTTAGCATTATTACTGACATCTAGAAGTGCACTATAAATGAATAGATTGGTATCTGTTATAATTTTATACATTTGGAAGCTTTTTCAGATGCAAAATGTGAAATTAAAAGAATATAGAAATTCAAAATGGCGAATCCAATATGGTGAACACGAAAATCAAGAAATTAATCTATTTTCGTGAAACCTGGTGACCTATACCTGGTTTTTTATGCGGCAGAAAATGAAGGGACGATTGACTATCTAAATGGTGATCTATAAGATATTCTTCTGAAATAGTAAGCTTGACGCTCTGAATAATAAAGTTCACTCACAAATATAGTAAAGTTTCAACTCAAAAATGTCAAGCTGACTGTCAGAATTATATCGTATAGATTACCCTTCATTTTTCTCTGTATAGGTTGCTCATTTCGTATATGCTTTTAGGATCCAAGTCATATTTACCAATAAACAAAAAACGAACGATAAAAAAACCCAAACTAACCAAGCCAACAAACGAAAAGCGGAAACTTTATATACTCATTTATTATATTCCATTCCGGGTAAATAAAGATCACGTTCTGAATATGAGTTTTATGTTTCGAGGAATTTTTCCAACCGATCTTAACGTTTAGGTATGATATAAAATTATTAAAATTAAAAAGAAAATTTAACCGATCAGGCGTATTTTTCGCTTCTAGAAGTATTCTGCTTGGAGAGGTAGTTTCTCGTAGATATAAAATTCTGATATTTTTTTTGTTATCATTATTTATAGACTCAGTTCAAAAAAACTCAAATTTTATTCTTAAAACACTTATAAGAAAGTCGGGCGTTAAAGGGTTAAGTACCAGCAAACAGAAATTGTATTTTTTTCCTTTTTTTCATCTTTTTTTTTTTACTATACGAATGGCTTAGTTGACATCAATTTTCTTAGGTGGCACGCCAAATTTTTCGGCGCTACAAATCACAATAACTGCTCTCAGGTTTCTCTCTGGTACCAGTTAAAAACATGAATGTTATGATTATGATATTGTTGAAATTCTGATTTTGCGGGGCAAGATTAAAAATGTCGGGAGAATCCCAGAAATCCCGGCCATCTGGCGATCCTAGTTTGGATGTGATGCGCTTTGCTGATTGGAGGAGACTGCGTCAAGTTGGTCCGGGAATCATGTTGCCCATGTGTTTCGTTTATGTTTATCGAGAGGGATTATTCGGAGGATAGCGAAATGTTCTTTTCAGAATATGATGAAAGCACTTATGTCCAAAAAGCGTCATTTTGCGATCCTCCTTCAGCTGTTTCTCTTGCGATAAATACGGAAATGAGATGCATGATAATCTCAACATGACCTTGAGCCGATTTGACTCGTAAGCCGCAACTGAAGGCGCGCACAAATTTCTTTAAGATCGCTTTTATTGAATTATTATATATTTATTCCAACATGTGTTTGTATATGTGTGTGTGTGCGTGTGTGTAGAAGTATGCGCTCTTGAATAGACCTTTTTTAAGAATATAAATATGAAGAAGTATTGAGGACTATTCCGGGAAGTTTGTGTGGTTTTTGTGTGTGCGAAAAAAAGTGCGTTGTAATATCGCGCAGACTTTGCTAATAACCGTTTTCTTCACGTACGTAACAAAAGATAGATGTAATATCGTCTTTCAAATTAACGAACTGTGGCAAATTCACTTGTGTCCTCAGCTCGATAAAGTTGTGAACAAGATCGAGAATGAAAAATCCACATGAATTTTCCGGACGAACCAATGTTTTATGAAAAGTTAGAAGTAACGTGTTGCTTACACTTTTTTCTAATAACGACTGGATAATGTATTGTAATTTTTTTCACTAAGTATTTCACTAGTTTTTTCACTAGTTTACAATAACAAAGTTAACAAGTTAACAAAGTTATTTTTTCAAAATTGGTCACGGTAACAATAAGGTGGGGATTAGTCTTTAATTTATTTATTTTTCCAGTCTTATTCAACGTGTAATGCATTCCCAACCGGGATTCCCAACCGGGGGTGCTCGCACCCCTTGAGGGTGCGAAAAAATATTCTTGGAGGTGCGAAGAAAAGTGATTGTAATTAATAATTATTAAGATGAATTCTGGAACAATCCGGCATTTTTACCATCAAATTAAAAAAAGTGTTATTAAAATTATATATTTTTTATTATTATAAAATTATATATTTTATATTATTAAAAATTATAAAATTATATATTTTATATTATTAAAAATTGAATATCTTTTTCAATTTTTAACTTCTTACCTTAAAACCCTAACAACTAATTTTTATCATAAAACATACGAATAATTTTTACCATAAAACATACGAATAATTTTTTTTTGCAAAGGATACGAAGGTTCATTAATAAATCTTTAGAGGTGCGAAATACAAAAAAGGTTGGGAATCCCTGGTGTAATGAGTAACAGTAACGAGAGTTATTTATTTATTTATTTATATTTCAATTTTCTCGATATACAACGAGTAACGCGGTTGCTCTGAAAAAGTAACTTCTCCCATTTGCATCTTATGGGATACCGATTTTCCACATTACCACCTACGAGAGGTCTTCCATTCTTCCGTAATATATAAAATCAATGTAAAAGCAGAGCATCACAACCGCGTCCCGTTGGTGCAGAATGTTGGCAAGGAGAGATGCGCGTTCGAAAACCGCGAGTCCGGATCTCCGCGATTTAGCGAAGAGACCTTCCGAGCAGTGTTGGGAGCATTTATTCCTTCCGCAACCTCCTGCGCATGCGTCAACTACGTCACAAGTTTTGATAGACTCGTGCTTAGATATACAATAGGGCGCTCTTGAGGCGAAACCAATGTAGTAATATAAGATTATGGCTGCGTTCCGATATTCATTCCTAATATTGAAAATACATCATTTATGTCACTATACTATACTACAGATATTTAGTGCTGGCAATGAATATCGGAACGCAGCCTATATAGAAAAAAAATAAAAAGATATGGTTCGGGCTCCACAAAAACCTCCAATATTGCATTTAGGCACGAGTATGTTAAGCAGCTACACGCGTGACGTAATTGACGCATGCGCAGGAGGTTGCGGAGAGAATAAATGCCTCCAACACTGGGCGCAACTTTCAACGAACACTTTCAGCTATGCTGTCCATAGTCCGTACACGAAAGCAAAGGCGAGACTCGTGGAGTTGGCGCGAACGGCCGACCGACCGTATCCTCGGGCTGCCTTTCTGCCTTCCTCGCGAAATCTTCCAATGATTCAGAACGCGCCGAGCCGTCGGCGCACAAATTTGCACTCTTCCACTGATTAATTAATTAACGCTACGTAAGCCGCACGAGAGGCTGCCGCATGAGAGTCGATCTTTGAGAACGTGACCTATCCGTCGTACAATGAACAAAGAAGAAGCGTCCTTACCGGGCGACGAGCTTTGGAGCCAGCCGCCGTCAGTCGCCGTCGTCACGTCGAGACGGCGACGACGGTTTTTCGAAGGTAGCCGCGTCGCCCTTTAGCCGCCGTTCCGTAATGGCACCGATTCAAAGAGATGTATCGCAGACTGATATATATACATGGCTATCGAGCATCTGTGAGATTCTAAAGAGCCACACGCATCGCGATACGATTCCGTGCGAATTGAGCGAGCGAGCAAGCGAAACGAACGAAAGAATGAGAGCGAGCGAGAAAGCGAGC